CTGAAAGGTGTATGCTTATACAGTATGTAAAGAACTACAAAATATCAGGAAAATCCTCTGAGAAACAGAAAATCCAAAATTATTGTTTCTACTCAGAATAACAAATTAATTTGATAAAATACATCATTGGCTTTAAATCATTAAACAAGACTACTGTGTGACAACACAGAACTGCTAAGTAAACAGCAATATTCATTCTTAATACTGTTCTCCTGTTTTAAGAAACATAGTGTGACATTTTGAGTGAGAAACAGAGAAACAGTATCAGTACTGACAAAAATCACCATTCTAATAACATCCATCTGAAGAAATGATCATTCTCCTTGTGCACCTAACATTAAAAAAGCTAAGAACAAAGAGACATGGAGCAAGCCTTTTTAGTGGTTTTAATATTCAAAATACTTGTATCAAAACAAAAACTGCAACTGGGCACACTTCATTCATTCGCTCCAATAGAAATCAAGTGAAGCAGAGCCACAAAACACATTGAAAGCACCCCTTAATTCTCAGCATTTTATGTTTTTTAGAACAGATTGCCTTACGAGCTCTCCTCTTTCAGCTGGTGAGAGTATGGATCTGATGTTTTGAAGAGACATACTGTAAGCAATTAGGACAGGAAAATAGCACTCACCATGCTTCTAAGAATTGCTCCACTGAGACACAACAACAAGACAAAAACAAGTGCTATGTCCCAGGGTGGTGCTGAGCACAGAGTTATAGCTTCTTGAGCCATGCATATTGCAGACTGGAACCCAAATTCATGTAAATTATAAAGACGAGATTAATTTAGTTTAACTACCCCATATATCCCCTTTTCCTAGAATTCAATCACACATACAGTACATTTTATACCCAATTTAATATTTTCTTGAATCAGTTAAACTGAGGGACAAAATTCATGACTTCCACTGTAGCAATAATATGAATATGACGTCACCTTACGAACTCTACCCACATTATGTGATTCAAATCTTTTTGGCAAGCAACTTAGGAGCAAAAATGCTCTTTCAAAATAACCTAAATTTTAACAAAAACTTCTGGAATCTACAGAATACAGTAATACTAATGGCATGCAATGTAAAACATGATCACAGTAACTGGACACTAAAAATCTGTATAGAAATGGAAAGTGATTCTACACTAGGTCAGGGATTCCATTCTTATGAGATGCCCATCTTCTTTATTGGACAAAGGACGGGGATGTTATTTATTTTAATTGTGAAAGTCTAAGTAAGCAGATACTGCTATGTGTGGTTCTAAGCTGTCTTTACACATGATTTCCAGAACAAGAAACTCTTACTTATTTGGATGTGTATTAATCAAAATCAGTGTGATAAAGAGCGGTTATTTTCTTTTGAGAATACTTGGATCCAATACTGCTCCCTAAGTACTGTATCTAATTCCAGTCCCTTTATCTCCATCACACATTCTGCAGTTCTTTGGTGACAGGATGAATAAATGCTGGCTTGAACTTGGTATACAGTTTTTTTTTTATTATACAGTATGAAAGATACGTAGAAACTGTAATATTGCCTAGACTGGAACACATTTTTAAGTTTGTGAATTGCATCTGAAATGTCCCAACAATATATACACTTTCCAGCTAAAGGTAATTGAAATCCTGACCTATATAGATTGTGTATCAAAATAGAAGCTTCTGAAAGTACTGCCCAGCTATGCTAGTCATTCAAAAGAATCAGATGAAGTGCAAAGATATGCCAAAAACCCATATTCAAAATTAAAAATATATTTTTCATTATATTTTTTGAAAAAAAAATTGTATTCTATAATAATTAAACAAGGAATGGAGGTGAGAAAACACGAGGAAAATGTGCAAGAGAGATATACAGGGAGAAGATTTAATAAGAAAAAACAAAGGGAAAAATGTCAAATGGCAAGGTAAGACAGGAAAGATGGAAGAGTTGGAGGTTTGGTGCTGTATATAAAGCATTCAAGCACAGTAAGTGAACTTAGATAAATTAAGAGTTTCAGAAAATAGATGGGTCAAAATGTCAAAACAAGACTATCACAAAAAGCACAGTGTTAGGAGTATGTTACAGATCACAAAATTCAGATATCAGTTATAATTCAATCTTAATAATAATCTAGAATCCGTGAGTAAAGAAAGAAGTGGTTATCGAAATGTTAGTTTTCCCCATATAGATGGGAAAAAATAAAGATGGACATCAATAATTGAAACTAAAATAGAACTCATGGCTCATACTGTACAGTATATGTTAGAAATTCTACTACAGGGAATAACTGTGAAGGGTCCACAGCTGACAAAATTGTGATTCTTTTCTTCTCTTTTCAGCATGTATTTCAAATACACAATGTTCGGATAAATATGTTACATTGTTCCATGTTATTGTGTTTTGTTTCTGCATTTTTGTCGATGCAACTTAAGGTACACATTTGATATACAGTATTATTATAATTACTGATATTGGTGTATGGTGAGGTGTACAATATTGCATTGCTGTCATCACAAAGCTGCAGAATGTAAATGCATTGCATTTTTAACAAGTGAAGTAATTATGCCATCATGCCTAGGCATCATTTATGAATGCTGAAGAGTTTCATACAAATAACTGCATGCATGCTCAAAACAAATGTTGAAAATGAAGAATAAATGTGAATGACAGAAAAAAATTAGTCCTCCTATATAGGGAATGACTAGAAAGTATACATTTTAAAGTGACTACTCCTGAAGATATTCATAAAGTGTGAAAAGCATGCCTAATCACCATTATACAAACCATTTATGATGATTAATTCAGGGCACAGAACTGAATAATATCACAGTAAGTGTGGTTAGTATAGTTTATCATGCTCACCCTTATCTCTGAGAGAAAGGCTATGCAAGCAAAATGTCAACCAGTGGCCTATTTCCCTTCCCAGTTAGTCAGTACCGTATGGAATAAACATCACCTCGATCCTCTAGTCTTGCACTCCCTGTGAATCAGCTTTGCCCTGGCTTGCAGTCACAAGGAAAGTGGGTTTAAGTGTTTGAAGCTGGCTTTTATCTCATAGGCTGTGAATGGTCACGACCTCTAAAAGCCTGTCAGAGACTGCTGGCCCAGCCTGTGGATTTGCAGCCGTGACCTGCACATGTACAATGCACACTGCAAAGCTCTCATCTTCCAGCCACACTGTTCAGACATCAGCCCTGCGAGCCCTGTTCCTCTAAAGTCATGATTCAGTTTCTTTAGAAAGGCTTTCCCATTAGCTACACAAAGTCACTGATCTTGCAAAAATAGCATTAGCGCAATGTATCTAGGCACTTGAAGGCCTACGTTTCTCTTTTTCTTTAAGTAAAATACAAATTATTGAACATCACAGACCTGCAAATGTATTAACTTTATAAGGCGCAATTCCCACTAGTCCAGATGAATTCATCGCTACAGTATTTGTATTGTATATGGATATTCTAATTATCTTTCACTTGCTTTTGTGCAACATTTTTTAATTCCAATGTTAAAGATACAGGTCCTAAGGAACACATGCCATTTGGAATCACAAAAATCTAAAACTAAATTTTAAATGAATTGAAATTCATTCATTGAGCCATTAGGTATTGACATACTGTAGCATTTGACACTCTTATCTGATTCGTTTGAAAACTCAGAAATTTCATGAATCATCTTCTCATAATGCTGATTGGTTCAGAAGAGCAGAGGAGACCTGCTGCACATTTTTATTTTCAGCCAGATCAATACAAAGTCAATGCTTGCTTTTCATTTGGAAATAGATTGTGAAGCAACAACACCTGATATCTACAAAAACAGTGCCTATAGAAACACACATCACTGTACTTAGATACTGGTCTAGTGCTCCATACCGACAGCCAAATCTTGCTTTTGTCTTGTTTGGATATTATAGTATATTGCTTATTCTGTAACAAAATAACTTTGTGGTCATAACAGTGGTCTGAATGCAATCACCATGGGAAAGGTGGAGTTGTATAAATCAATGCCGAACAGGTAATACTGTAACAAATAGTATGAACGTAATCTTGGCTCACTGGCCCTGCCAGGCATCTACAGGCTCTGTATTTGAATATCATCAGTCAATGAAACATATCTATTCACAATTTAGCTAATGTTTTCATGCTAAATTATACTTATGTATATTTTAATTTAAAAAAACTGATATATACTATAATGACGCTGAAGTCTAAAACCTCTGTTGAGAGCAAATGATTATAGTTCAGTTGCTTGGTGAACCTAAACAACAGAAGGTGCATGGTAGAATCTTTTAGAAAGGACACCTGTAGCCAAGAACTCCTTATTAAGGCAAAATCCAATGCTCCTATGGGAATGAAGCATCTGTGTGGGACAGATGATTCCACTAGAATAAATATTACATTAGGAAGAAAATACTTTACTGTTGCTTGAGTTGAATAAATGACAGCCGGTGTGTGTGCATGTGTGTGCTGTATGCCTACATGGGTCCCTGAGTGTGTGTCTCTTCCTCTAATGTTTCGCACACAATTCTAGCTTTTAATGCGTGGGATTCAATTTCAGTGAAGTGTTGTCTTCATTGAAAAAAAAAAAAAGAATTTCAACAAAGAAAGCCTGCGCATTTATTTTTTTCTTTTACAATGTGTCAAACACTGAAGGTTCCTTATCCAGGTATCACTGCCATCCAAGTGTTTGTGACAGAGATTAGACCGACATCTTGGATCAGAGTTGCTGACTCACCCTTCGCCATCAAGATCACAGGATCAGAGGTGTTTTGTGTGCAGTGCAAATAAAGACAACAACCCTGGCTCCTGGCTGAGTGGGCGGCTGGGAGAGGGAACGAAGCAGCCGGCTAGTGGGAGTAACTGAAGAGAGGTCAAGGAGTTTTACGTAATGACCCCTATTACTTGCACCCTGTGTAAATGTGCAAATGAGTGAAAAAAAAACACACTTAGCTTTGAAAGGCTGAGAGCACTGGAACACTGCACTGTTTTATACATACTCACTGAAAACTCAACCTCTGTCAAAGTTACTTACAATGTGTAGCTGAAGGTAGTCTCCGAGTCCAGAGGAGCTGTCTACCCGTACCAATACAGCATCTTTCAACTGAGTACTAAATCCTATGGCCAGCCTGTCCGCACGTGTGCTGGGTCTGTCATTGGGGGGCCATGTGTAAATGATCAGTCCACCTCCTCTGCCAAATATGTAAGTAGTTCCCGCTGTCAAAAGAAAAAAAAAGCAACAATATAAAAGTCATTAAAACCACCAATACTGCAGAAAGACATTTTTACAGCCATAGAGCACAATTTTTCCCTCCTCACCATTGTGTTTAGGCCGTTCTAGTCTGTGGCAAGTACTGTAGTACTGTCAGGGGAAATTGTACCTGACATGTAAGTTTCATTTATGGATTCATTTTCTGCTTTCAGTTCTAAGTAATCAAGAGGACACAACGAGATATTCAAAGAAATATGTGAGGAAAAGCAAAAATATAATTCCAGTCATAGTTAGGAGTACAATGTTCATCTCTCCAGAGCAACAAAGCATATTTCCTGCTAACATCTCAGAGCCAGTCATAGCTCATTCAATGATGATTGCATGCGAGACATGATTGGGCCATCCTGTGCAATGAAGCAAAATGCAACAAATAAATTCATGGAGACTTTTATGGGCCCAAGGTTTATCAGGTTGTGACAGCAGGGTAAGTAATGGAGGCTGGCAACAAGGCTCACTAGTCATGTCAGAGCACACCGAGTACCCAAGTATTATCTATTGAGACAAATGCTCTTTTCACAGGTTACCTACAGAAGCCCTTAAACCTACAGTATTGCTCTCACCATTTATATATCTAAAGACGTACAATAATATTAATGTAATGAAACATATATTTTCACATATGGATGCAGAACATTGACAATATTTGCTCAGAATATGAATATATTAACTTTTTTTATATATGGATGCAGAAAGATAAGAACAGTTGGTCATAGCAATGTGTCACTGATGTGAATTTACAGTACAAGTGACTCTTGTCACTGTAGGTAGGTGATTTTACACAGAAACAATTATTTTGATTTATATTGTTATTAATCTGTGAACTCAAATTCAATCAAATATACAGTATGGGTGAAGATCTGGAAACTCTCTCCGGCCTTGCAATTCTTCAGTAATAGAAGCCCTTATCAGTTTTAGTTTGACTTTAGTGTTACTTCACATTACCTGGTACATTAGTTGGCAGGCTCATGCAAAAACTATGGGAGAAGCTTTATTTTGCGCCATTTTCAAAGGCTTTTGTCAGTTTTCAGTCTTCCTTCCTTCCCAATGCCAAATTAAATATTTTATTATTGCAGGTAATAATCATATTGCAAAATATGTAATTTACATGGAATAAATCTAAGACAATTTATTAAATACTGTACATTTTTTATTTATTCTTTTTTCAGTAAACATTACTTACTGTTATAAGATTTCAATTTGCTTTTTAAAATTATTATTAAAATATAAAATATCATTAGAATAACAGGTTGACCGAAAGTCACCTCAGGAACATGAACCCAAGATCTTCTTGCCATTTGACCAAAGTGTAATAGCGCAGATGTTGGCTATAAAGTAATATTTTTCCATTACTTTTTAAACAGGTGTCTTTAGAATGGTTCTCAGCTTCACTTCACAGCATTTGCAGTATATATTAGAAAGTATCCAAAATACTTTAAATGTCAATGATAGTAAAGGCCAATAATATCAATAAAGGCGTCCCGCTTTATTGCAAGATCAGGACTACAAGAAAACAATCTTTCTGGAATCACCAACATGAAATGAGAAAGGGGGCAGCTGTGTAGTTTATGATGGTCCTTCAAGCAATATGGATACAAAATGATGGGTCTTGGTAGCAAATATAATTTCTTGTAATGTATTGATTAAATCACTCATCCCCACCATACAAATACCCTCAAATATTGCATCTGCTTCAGGGCAGGAGGTAATATACAAGTCTAGAAATACTGCACAGTAAAATTGACTACAAATCCTAAAGATATTTTTTAACATTGGTATACAGCACATGACTGGATGAAGGAAATAATATAGGAGGAAATTTCCTGAAGATATTATTGTATCTTAAGGGGGATAGTTCACAGACAAACAGATTTCACTCCATGTTTAGCTTTGATGATAAGACATTGAATAGTGGAAAAATTAATATTCAGTTTTTGCAGATATGACCAATGCAGCTGACAGATGTTGTAAAATAACTCTAGAACAAATTAAATAAAATATTTGCAACCAGCAGTTTAGAAAATGAATACATACAGTAGCTTAATCCCTTTCAGATAGAATTTTTTTCCTCTAGGGACAAGTACTATAGATGACACTGATATTTTTATATACGAGGAAAAATATACCTAATACTGTATATATATATAAACCAGACTTAACATTCAGGTAAACTATACTGCTGACCTAAAATGGTCTGCTTTTCAATGCAAAATTCTAAATCTTAATAGCCACGTTGATTATCTAAAAAAGCGTAATTATTGTCTCTTTACATCAGATAGGTAAATCTCTTGACTCATGACTGGCAGTAGCCAGCAGACCTACTGTTGCACTGCTTGTGTGAGTTACCCATTTACTCCAGTTGAACCAGCTTTATAACAGTTGATTATATTATATAACCACCAAAAGGTTAAAAAATAAATGAAAAATAATTTTATGCATATCACCCGATAAATAAGGAAAGTACATTTTCATATCGTCAAATTAATGGGAAAGCAGCTGAAGAAGTTTTGGTACTGTCCCCACTACAGTGATGGTAACAAAGTAGTTATATCATGCAGCATGCAGATCAAAAGTTTAATTTCTTTACTCATCTAAGCAGAATTCCTTCACAGCCATCATTCGTCATCTTTAAGTCAAGATGGGACTGTATAGAACTTACAGTGTAAATAAATGTCTTTTGTTTGTATACTTTCTGATAATCTAGACTGCAAATCTTCAATTTTGCAATACATGATTAAAACGCATGACTTCAGACATGTACTGTAGAACCAGTTGACAAATCTATGGTCTAGGGAGAGAGTAAGAAGAGAGAATGGAAGTCTCCCATTCCTAAACCATATTTTAATTAACTGTATTACACAAAGCTTTATGATTTTCAAATTACCCTTTTCAGTTTAACTCTGTGTCAGCGGAAAAAAGATACGTTTTTTATGTTAGAAGTAATGAGCAGTGAAAAGTAGAACAAGAAAACATCTCTGAAAGGCTCTAGTCTTCCTCATCTTCTCCTTGCCTTGGGTTGTAAATTGTGAAGCATTGCCTTGGAGCTCATTAGCACATGATGCGCTGCACTAGGTCAGGGTGTTGAGCAGGAGGGATTTTGCTGTCTGCCTCAGTGACACAGACGCATTGGCCCTCATGCTGTGTGAAGAATAAGCAGGTCACTTCACATGCTTTATCTAATGGATCCTTCTTGTTTTATCTTTATTTGTCTGTGCGGCTATAATTTCTGTAAATACTAACCCAAAATGACATAAAAATAGGCATGACTGTTCAAATTTTGAAGCAGATGAAGGAACAGCTCTTTAAATATTCATAGAAAGGCTGTGCATTAAGACACACTATAACAGCAGATTATAAATCATTTTGACCATAATAATGATATTTTTTGCAGTAAACTAGCTCATAAGAGTATAAACATATTAATACATTTGTTTTTTAACATAATCCATTGAAGGCCTAAAGAGAGACAGCAAATGCTTCATCATTTTACCTTTATACTATTGTTGCTAGCAAATAGCAGCTACAGAATATCAGTATCATTGACTGCTTTTTTGCAGTACCTTAGCTTCTAACACAAGAACAACAAGGCAGAGATCTCTGTTAATATGCTCAAAGAAAATGTCTTTGCTTTTTAAAGATACAGCATGCTCGCACACTGGATGATATTCTGGCATTTCCCTCTTTGCCTCAAGGCACTGAATACTTGATATCAGTTCCAGCATGATACAATTAAGCAGTTTCACACAGTGTCATTACAAATAAATCCCTTCGGTTTCCATTTATGTATATTTATATGATTTGACAACAATGCTCCTACATTGACATTTAATCTGCTGGTTACGCAGGTCATTTAGCTACACTCAAGCCTTGGTTTGAAGAATCAAGGTACTATTTGGTTGATGTTTGAAAACCCTAATAGTAATACCAGATGCACACGCAAGCTTATACAATTTAAGACTACTTCTGAAGCTCATTTAGAGGTTTTTACTTGTTGTGTCAAAAACCATCTCAGTTGGCTCTGATAGCTTGATGGTTTTCCAAGCTCAAGGTGTTGAAATTGACTAATCAATTCAGTTTTGCCCAGCACTAAGCAGTAACTAATATGACGAGCTGCCTGTTGTTTAATTTTCACACTGCTGTTGCTTGTCTTTAGCTAATTCACAGTTGACTTTTGGGACTTGTGTCAACAGCTTTCAGACATCCATAAATAACTCCCACTATAAGTTGTTCTTCCTTCCTTCCTGTGGTAAAAGCACCAATTTGCCTTTGAACCACAGAATTATTTGAGGTTGGTACTCTAAATCAAGTAACACCCAAGGGTCTGGACAACATTAATTAGCTTTGATGTAATAATTATAGTGCTATTATTTTACTTTCTACTATCCAATGGAATTGCCTTTTTTCTGTATATTTGTCTTGGCATTGATAACAGTATGAGACAGATTTTCACTGTTGCAATAATTACATTAAATTACAGTTTTCAGAAGCATGGTTGTTTACATTTAATGCACACTGAATATAATTATTTGGTTAGGAAACATTTACAACGCAGGTCATGGAATAAAATACTTTTCTTGTCAGATCTCAGAAGTGAAGCGAGGCAAGGTTTAACGTTACTAGGATGGGAGACTGCGAGGGAAAGGAAGGTTTCTACAATAAGTGGTTTTGTTGGAGTTGAATAGTTGGCACTTCTACCTTTGTAACAGAATTTTCAATTCAATGCCCCAGTTTGGTCATCAATTTCAACTTGCAGAATCTGGTCACCATAAATTGCATTCATAATTGAACTGGAGGAAATTTCTTACTCTTCCACCTGATATAATGTGAAACAACTCCTGTATAACAACTGCCACATTTCACCCAAGTGTCACTTCAGTGATGAATGAGGTGGGTCACCTCCTGTTTGAGAAGGACTTTAAGCTTCTGTGTTATTAGCCACATTACAGAA